TCTTCATTAAGTGTCCAGAGGAGTGTCTGACCAAAAGAAGAGAGACAGGGCGCAAGAGGAGATGGATAGGGGTGAACTCTGCTTGGGGGGTTTGCAGCTTTCCTGTGAGCCATCAGCAAGAACTAAGCAGAATGACAGAAGAAAAAAGGAAAGCAAGTTAGAGTAAAAAAAAACTACTTGTAATCACTTAAAAAGCACAAACAAGACTCTCTTTATCCTTCCTTCCAGGTGCAGGCACGCATGTGCTGTCCTTTCAACTCCCCAAGATCTTTTGTGTGCCCGGAGTCCAAAGAGAGATCCACTCAAGGTGGAGAGAAAGAAACACCTCATCCTTGACCATTTGATTAGCAGCTGTCCTCTGTGCCAAAAACATCTGACCCCCCACATGCTATCCTCCCTACCCTGAACTCCCCAACTGCCTCCTGAAAGAGCAGGTCTGTGTCACACACTTCTAGGGTTACTTTGCTGATCAAACTGGAGAGGAGAGCAGAAAGGCAAGAAATCCACTGAAACATCAGAAGGAAGGGAGAAAGACAGGCAGTGGGAAGATTATGAATGAAATGGACTCAGACGGAACAGAAAAAAGAGGAAAAGAGGACAGCACATCTCCACAAAGAGCTAGGACGTGTGATTGACCATTTTCCAAAAAACTGGGACAAATGCTCGGAACTGTGGCAGTTTCAGGTTAACATCTAAAGTTTCCATTTAGCACTCTGTGCCGAGGAACACTGTTAAGACATTTTCTTGTTTGGAAGAGTTTTCAAGGTCATAAAATGCTGCAGTTTCCATGGAGAATGTTTTTTGTCCTTTACTGAAGCGTACAATAAAGGTTACTGATTTAACTGTAATCATTGTATACAAGCAGAGTGAAAATTCATTTAAAAAATGACTAAAGAAAAGAAACAAGAGAGTCAAAGAGGTTTTTTTCTTTCATGATATACGAATGGGACATTAGTTGAATGGTGAGTCTGTCTGCTGGGGAAATGTCACGTTAGCCCATGTTAGCAACCCAACAGATTCTGTCAGTCATTGCACACATAGCTAAGAAGCCAAAGGTGTCTTCCCATCTCTCTTACCTTTTGTTTCCATTGAAATTTACCTCAGAAGGATTATGGCGACTGAGACATAATAAATGATGCAGATTACAACCACTTTCCTGTCTCGGATTCGTCACTAACAGTGGTTTAGCTGCATAAAAACATAGTTCTCCCTGACTGTGGAGGGGCTGAAGGACCACAAATCCAGATAGTAGAATGACTACACTGTAAATAAGGAGACAAATGATAAACTGTGTGTTTACATGTATGATTCCGAATGAATCCTTTATTATTTGGAATATTAAAAGGATTGTCTTGGTTACACAAAAGCCTTTTCTGGATGCATTCATTTACCTCACTAACTGCCATGAAAGCCGAGCATCACTTTTAAAACTAACGTTATGATTTAGAAATGATTCAGTCAAGTAATGTGATTAATAACCCTTTCTGTTGGGTTCGTATGCACAAAAACAGCTGCCTAGTCCTATAAAAGATGAAAAACAGCTCAAGTGGTAAACTAAAAGGGCTCCGGGACAGCAGGGGATTATCCTGTGGGGTACGTACTCTCCCAACTCTCTGGCTCTCAACTTTTTCCCAACAGGGACCAATAGCCGATGTAACATCCTGCTAGCCCATAAACAAACAATGCAATCACCTGAAGTCAGGCTGAAAATCCTCCGGTGCCACTTAAAGGGGTCAAGAGCCATGCACCAGTCATAATTTTTAGCTATGCTTGTGACATATATATGACTGTCTAGCTTGTCAGTATTGCAAGTGGAACTCGCAGTCTAATCCCTTGATTCTTTTTCTCCTCATTTTTTCCCAGGCAGTCTATCCTTATAAAATAAGCAGAACCACAGCAGGATGAGAAATGCAATGGAAAACGAAGTATGGAGCTGCACAGGTGTGACAGCCTAACTCTTTGAAAAGTCCTTTTTTTACTTGAGAAAAGACATTGATGAAATGCGCTAAGTCATGAAGTATGATTAGAAAAGCATAAAATGCAGATGTTTTTGTTTATCAGCTTCTAGCCTCAAATGCCAGCTTTCCCATGCTCTTTCATTGAGCTGACTCAGTTAATGACCAACTATGACTGATCTGTGTCCCATTCCCCAGATATTATACCACCGAAACACACAGATATACTCACACCATTATTTGAACAATGAACATATTCACGTGAACACAAGCACAAGACTCTGTCTGCTTCCCATGAAACAAATGGAAACTCAGTCAATCTATTTAAGACTTGTTTCAACGGTTTCGGGGAAAGCACCGTTGTCTCAGGGATGTTGGACATGTCTTTGTGTGGGTACAGTGCAAACTGAGATTTCAGATTTGTGCTGCATGTCCAGCCAGCACTTTGGGACACACAGACCTCTGCTTCAAAGAGCAAGAGGAAATACCATGCCCTTCCTGTCACTCCCAGTCAGGCGCATATGACGTGGTCACGATGCGATGACAGATTATAATTTGAAAAAAAAAAAACTGGAGAAAAGGTTCTGAGCTACGGCTCACAGAAGTAGCAATGATACAACATTAGTGTTGTGTTTATGCCCTTCAATCAATCAGTCAATGGACTTTTATTCAAAGTGGAAACACACTCATCTTTAAGTGATTCTCCTGCTGTACCACAGCACCTCCGACATCACCTTATACCAACTCCATGCTCGGTGCTTAACCACCTTTTTGTTTTTCTCCTGTGCCAGCTCAAGATTTTTTTTTGTCTGACTTGAAGCCCTGGGAGGGGTAGTACATTAGTACCTCCGTATTGTACTTTGATTTGTTTCATGATCATCCAGAAACAGGAGGATCATAAGGAATAGCTCAGACTGACTAAAAGCTGCTATGCTTGCACTGCTGCTGAACTCAGATGCCAAACCAGAGCAAGCTGAACATGTCGAAACACAGCAGGGTGTTGCTCACATTATATCATGAAAAATGAATTAAACTGACTGGTGCGTAATCCTTTGAACTTGCACAAGTTTTCATCATTTCTGTGTGTGTGAGAATCACAAAAAAAAAAAAGGCGCTGTGGTGGGCGCGCAGCATACGTGGCACAACCCTTGAAAACAGACATGCCCTTACTTGACTTCTTAATCTTCAGTTTCCTGCCCTCCCTCTCGTATCTCAGAATAAAAACTTCACGCCACTGTGATTCCTCCCCCCGCTTTGCCTCTGTTTCCCCTCTGTGTATCACACTACAACAGCTTTATGTCTTCTCAGCACAGCTCCCTGGCCCCTAGCCCCTCCACCCCTGCTGTTTCCATTGGGGCACTGCACAAAACGGTGCTTGGCAAAATCCCAACGACTGGGGCCCACATACCTCCCAATCTCTAGATTAAATAGCACCAGTCTCTGAAGTCCTTCCAGGGGCTAATAGCTTTTGTTGCTGGGAATAATCCACACATCCTCTCCCACATCCTGGGGATCTGCTGGCCTGTTGTGAACCCCGCCTTAGCCCACTTAATTTCTCTCTCTCATCATCGTCTTAATCTGTGTCTTAATTGTGATTGACCTCCCAGTCTTTCAATGGCGCAGCCCTGTGTTTAAGCAAAAGGGCATCCAGCACAAACCACCGGCGTTGAGAGGAGGATGCAGTTGAGTTAACTTTGGGTTCAGAACGAAGCAGTGTTTTAATAGGAGTCAATGCAGGTGTTGTCTGAAGCTTAATGAAGGTCTTAAATCTCCTCTGTCATCTGGAGTTTCATGGAGACTTGGAAGCAAAGAAAGACAGACAAGTGACCGGGAGTTATCCTCATAAGGAAAAGAAAACATCCGTCAGGGCAAGCTCGGTGTCAGCACTTGAAGTATTTTCTAAATAAATACAGCAGAGTGGGATACTTTCACAAGACTGGGAAAAGCTTTCTAGACAGATCAAAAAACATTTGGGAAATAGGCCCAGACTAAGACCATCTTGTCGCCCTCTGTTGTTCAGAGTATATCAGATATGAACCACTTATATCCATGACGTCAGAAATTCATGCAGGATACATATTCAGGTATGAGCTCATATCCTGCCTGGGGTACTTTTCGCCAAGGAGGCCAACAAGGGGAAGGAGAAAGGCAAGCAGAGGGAAAGCGAGACTTTGATTGTGGATGCTGTTGTTGAATGACAACCCTATTTAGATTGCCTTATTAGTAGCATTTTAAAAAGTTAGAGATTGATAGTTTTCTTGTCAATTTCCTATTCAAACTAAAGTCCCATTAGGAGAAGTTAGTTAACATATGGTATACTGTGTAATAGCACAGGTCTTTAGAGCAGAATGCCCATAAAACAAAAGTAAAAGCAATTTTGACCCTTTTATTCCACTCCTTTACCAAAGGTTGACGAAACACACCCACTTGATAACTATAGAGCCAACAGCCGACATGAAATTCTGTTCCTCTACATCTCTCACCAGTGATGCACAGGATGTGACAATAGACACAAGGAGTGAAACATCTAAACATATATAAACATATATTTGCTTTACAGTCTTAATTTTTAACCTGACTGAGTAAACGTGATGTGAGAATCTGTAAGCATAACAACACTGTTCTGTTGCAGCATACAGCTTTATTTCATTATGTCTGTCAGAGGAGCATGAAAGAACTAAAACTTTAGTGGATTAATATGTTATGCCCGATTCAGATTTAGCAAAAGGCCAATTTTTTCAACTTTACACTAGTCCATATAGGAATTAATATGACCTCCAAAATATGTGGTTCTATCAGCCTCTGGGTCAGAGAAAAGTCTAAAGGAGTAAAACAAAAAACAGTAAAAAAATAAATCAATTTTTTTTAAAAGGACTGCAATAATCATACTGCATAAAAAGGTGATGTGATTCCATTTTTAGTGCTTGTCTTGGTAAGGTTGAAAACCTTAGTCTGTCAACTTTACAGCTATAAATTGCTTAAAGAAAATCACTCTTTATTTTTCCCCTTTCACTGTACACATTCTCATCAAAGACGGCACTGTCATTACCTGGCCATGCCCAGACTGGAGAACCCTGCTGGGACAATAACAACATCAAGGCGAGGAAAGGGATGCACCCCCAGAACAGCATGAGCTGCAGCCAAACATCGAGGCAACAGTGAGAGGACTCCCGTCTGCAAAAACAGAGTTTCACAAAACACCGACGAATTGAGTTACCTTTGAAGTTTGCATATATGTATTTACAGAAAATATCGTAGTTTATAAGGAACTATGATGGCTTTGAAAAGCTTTGCTCTTCCACATAATTCCATCTGTTATTAATTCTGAGGGAATTATTTTAACTGAATAATAAAAGGTTTTGAATACGACACACGTTTCAGTGTTCACATTTAGAGTGTTAAAGACAGAGGATGAGAGGATTCTAATGAGGGATCCATGAGACTAGTCTCATCCTTCTGCCATTATGCTGAGAGATATTGGTTGAAAACCGCCGTCAGAGTGACACAGGCATTAACCATGCTAACTGTCTCATCTAATCTGACAAAATCTAATCAGCCGAGGTCTCAGCGGCTTCCTGTCAGAACTCTACCTGGGCCTCCTGCAGCAGGCATGCGGGGCTAAAAACACGATGTGGAATCACCCGCTGGGACCAAGCCGACCACTGAGTAAACCGGCAAGGGTAGTCGCCATGGGAACAAGAGATGCTGTCATCCACCATGCCCGAATAATCAGTTAAAGAGAGCTCCTTGTCCCTGAGGAAAGAGTGACAGAATGCATACTCTGAGCCGGTGGTCTCCTCACTGCAGTTGTGGATGATAAAAGGGAAGGCAAACTAAATCAAAACAATGATTAAATCAATTATATCATTGAGGTGATATAACCACATATGGGACAATGCTCAGTCAGTCTTTACTAGGTGTGGAAAATTTAGCAATGAAGAGTGGATTATTTGCAGAACATCAAAAAGGAAAGCTACAAATATCCCAAAATATCAGGCAGTAATGCAATCCAATGCACACAATCTAATATCCAACCCTAACTCCATCCTCAACATTTGGACTGATCCAAAGATGCAGGGCGACAGCCAGGTTTCCTTCCAGCCACTCGCTGAAAATAAAGACCTTCCTTGTACAGTAGTTGGAGATTCATGGGGCTGTGGCTGGGCTGCTGCTGAAGGGGAAACCATGAAGGGAGGAGGAGGATTACTGGAAACCACTGGCAGACCTGCCAACCTCCCGGCTATTGGAGAGGGAGACCCCAGCCCAACCCTGCCCTACCCACACTGAAGTGATCCTCTGTAATGCTCCAAACCCCTCTTTATTTCCTGTTCTCCAAAAAAAAAGGGGGGGAAACTGCTGGCTTAATTTTTCTCTACAAAGATAATTTCTGCTGGCCAGTGTACTATAGAGAAAGCTTTAACACATTTGTCATAAAAAGGCAACTGCGTGCTGAACCCTATCCATCACCCTGACTTCAACTGAGCCATTTTTGGTATGGCAAAAGGAAAGTTTCACCATGGAATGTTGAAAGGCCAGACTTGGGTTAATAGCAGTCTAGAGAGAAGGAGGTACAACAAAAAGAAAAAAGGACAGAGGAAAACTAATAAAATACCTGCCAGTCTGGAGTGGAAAGTCCTTCCCCACTTCAGTAGAGGAACTTCCAAGTGGCGACACAAGCTCAGCCGCGGTGCATTCCCCACGGTCAGCTCTCAGTTGGTCTAACTTGCCACAAAAAGGCCTGTCCCAAGGGTATTTTTCCGACGCTGGAGGACTTTCCATTGTGACTTGGCGCCAGTGGCCCACTGCCAGAGTGAAGGTGGACGCAGGCATGGGCATCGTGACGTAGTAATTCCAGATTCTAAAATCTGTAGAGTAGATTTAGGAGGAAAAGAATAAATATACTAAAGAGCAAACAGTGAGAAACTAAAGAAATATTAGGGAAAAGTCAACTGGATTTGTTCATCTTTCACATGGCACCACAGCAAAGACAGGTGACAAAGAGCTATTCAAACATCCAATACTTATTAAAAAAAAAAAAGATGAATAAATTAGTTATCAAATCTTTAATCATACCATCATCATTTCCTCTCTGTGGTCTCTACCTATTCTCTGTTTCTTACTTTCCTGGCTCTGACATGAGGATGATGATATAATTTTCACAGTAATTCAACCCTCACGGCTCTGACTGCTAAAGGAGAAAAGATGTCACCACCATGGCTATTTGAAGTGATGACCAAATCTGACATCTGGACAGAGCTTTCTGATGTCTGAAACTGGGGAAAATAAAGACTTTCTTGTTAAATACCTATGCCAATATGATACCAAAGTTAAGCTCCGGACAGAAAACATGACTATTTTTAGTGCCTTGTTTATCTTACAAGGCCCATTTATTAATTTTGGGGGAAATAAACTGAGGTCATAAGTGTATTAGAGTCAAAAATGTCTTAAAAGGACTTTGTTTCCTTAAGACCAATTTGTTTTTAGTGTTGAGGTTCAATACACATACAAATTTGAAATTCCTTTAAAGGTGCTTCTACTTTTAGAGCAATTAGTAATGCCACATGTTGCACTTCAGAGTTTGATAATGCTTTACAAAACAAGAGACAGATTTCTGATTTCACTATATTGGGTTATAAAGAAATCCACATGAATTCTGCTGGTTGTCAAATTTTTTACAGCTTACGTGAGTCGCCATCCTCAGTAGGAACAGCTTGCTTTTCCCCACTCATCAAAACCACGCAGCGACTGGGGGCCCGCACTGTTGCCTGCCACGTTGACATGGCAACAGGCGGCTCCTGGCAGGGGAAGAGCGCTCGGTTGTTGATGGGAGAACCGGCAGTGTAAACACACACCCTGGAAGGGTAAACTATGGTAAATTATGAACAACTCCAACAAACACGTGCACGCCAACCTCCGAAAGCACACCTCCACTCCGTGCACGGCAAAATATCCCGGGGTGTGTTTTTGCAAATGAATGAATAATTGCTTCTAACACGGCACCGAATATTTTAATGTGACTTAGGCAGCAGAAAACAAAACAAATGATTTCCACGTGGAAAAAAACTTTACGAGGGTGTCCAACGTCATCCCAACGTCCCCGAGACTAACCTGTCGTCCTGGTCTTTGGTCCACCTCACCGAGCCCCCCGACATCCTGGTCTTGTAGCAGATCCTGATAACTCGGGGGAATCCCTCGGGAGAGGAGACTCCCGTCTTCCTCACCTGAAGACTCCAGGAGTCTGTGTGGAAGCGCAACGAGCTGCCGTCTTCAGCGCCAGGGGCTCGGCTGCACAGCGAAAAGAGCCGGTTCTTCTGCTCCCATTGGGCGGAAGGCATGGAGATAACCCTCTGAACAAAGGACGCTTGTTTGTATGCCGAAACGACTTCCGACTGCTCGGATGCAACGTGTGGTTGAAGGCCCGACGCAGCCGAGACGGAGGCAACATCCACCTCCTCCACCTTTGATACGTCCAGGTCACAGCAGTCCAGCACTAAGGTGAAATCCCTCCCACTGGTGGTTTGCAGCAGATGTGAGGACTGAGTGTTGCTAAGGACAGATGCAATCTGGGGTTCACAAGTAGCCTTCAGGTCAGATTTGTTTCTTTTTTTAGCACCATACATCTCCTCTTTCTTCACTTCAGTGGCACCTTCCTCCATTATTCTGGCCTCCTGAAATCTAGATTCATTCTCAACATCCTTTGTGCCCTCTTCAATTGCAGGTCCATCAGCATCCTTAGTTCCGCCTCCATAGCGAGGCTCCAGGAAGAGCACAATGCTCCCATTGATGACCCTACTGTCAAAGTCAACCGTCAGATCCAACACGTAATGTCTTACAAGGATGTGGTTAGTATTTGCTCGGAGCGGAAGGTCATCTGTGTCAGGGTTCAGATTCCCATCTGACTCCATATCACACCAGAGAAACGAAGGCCCGAGCAGAGGTTCGCTAGATCGGGTGTTTCTGCGGGAGAACAATTTGAACATTTATGTCTTATACGAGATATAGAGTCTGCATTTACTAAAGCGTGTGCATGACTGCGTATGTCTCAGACAAACCTGTCAGCTGATACTCTACAACTCAAACTCGGGCTGAGGCACTTACTTCTGTCTATGCGCACTGTCATGAAGCCAAATCTGTCAGGGTCTGCTCAACATCAGCTCAAACTCCAAATGCCAAACTCCATCTGGTTACACATTCCAGCAATGTTTCCAAACAGGAAAACTATTGTATGATCCCATTTTGATCAGTGATAATGAGGCAGCATTAATGTAGCACCTCGGCCTAATGAAAGGAACAGCTATCTGTGTACTGTACATCAAAGCTTCCAGGCTGGAGAGATTTGGCTGTCACTGCCCTTATATTTAGACAGCTAATGGAACATAGACAGAGGGGTAATTACAATTTACAGCAGGAAACGGACAGGGGTTATTTGGTTCAAAAGTATATTTAAAAGGTTATGTGTGCTCACAAAAACGAAAAAGGGGAGCCAGTACAGAAACAGAAGAAGGTATCGAAACGTGTCATTAATGGAGAATAAGTGTCCCAGGTTTTGGTATGCAAGCCACATCCAAAGAGATCAAAGATTCCAGCCTTTGACAATCTATTATGTGACAAGTTAAGCAATACCTGCACGTGTTGAGGTAAGAAGAAGTCTTAACATCGTGTTATATAATCACAGAAGGGTTTTGTAGAGACTCGTAAACTGATTTGCCAGCTGATGAATGTCCCCCCCAGCTAATACGAACAAACTTCAAATGACAAGCTGTTCTATGTCAGTAAAAAGGCTCCGTCTTGAAAAGACGAGGAAGCGATGTTTAAAAAGCCCATATTCACTGAACTTAAACGGGTGCAGAAAATCTTTCATTAAAAAACATACCGAAGAGCATCAAGCGTACTCGTTTGAACTTAATCAATTCTACAACCGTGCTGTAGCCGCTGTCGAAGTCGTACAGTGATGATGTCACATTAAGGCGACACCTTGTAGTTCCTCAAAAGTAATGCTTCCTGTGTATAAAACTTTGGTTTATTAATTCACTTTTCATTTGGCTAGATATTAAACCATTAATATTATTATCTTTATCTAAATAACAAATACTGCCAAAAGGATTTGAATGTTTAAAGAAATACATCTTAAGTAGTTGAAAATTTAAAAATGAGAAACTAATAGCTACACAAATTTAGGACTTTCATTTTACAAAAGAAAATTGTTAGTTAAAGTTGGATACAAACAAGGCATTTAAAAATGGCATTAATTCAACTAGATTAAGCAATGAAATGTGAGATTTTTTTGCAAGATGCATGACTAAAACATATTTTAAATAATAGTGATAGGATTTAACTACAGGGCAGGCATCCTGTTTAGTTTTCCTTTAATACTTAAGATGCCACAACATGATAATACAGATTAAATCAAGTACATTTTTCAACTGCAGTATTAAAATTAGACAATGTATTACATGATTTTAGGTGAATAATTCATCCACCAAAATGATATAGGAAATAAACAACAGACACCAGAGGGTGCATTCATTTTCGGTCACAAAATAATAACCAAACAGTGATGACAGTGTTCATATATTACGTTTTATTCAGGTTTTTCCAACATCCTTGTTAACATGACAAGTAAACATTACATATTTAATTTTAACGCAAAAGGTATATAAATTCCAATCAAAATATCTTATTACACCTACTTGCACAAGATTTCAAAAATAGCTATGTGTTTTAATGAATACTCACATTTAATATGGACACTGCATAATTTTTTATTTCATAAACCATTTTGAACATTTTCAGCAGCAAAAAATACAAGAAAAATATTCAAATGAATGTTAATAATGCATATAAAAAAAACGTATTCCCATCTTTTAAACACTTTTGTACATTTACATGACTGAAATACAGTATGCCCTGCGACATAACACCTAAACTGATAAGCTATTCCATGAATATCTCATTAATTCAGTTTGTCTTTATTTGTTAGTCAAGAGCAGCAATACATTTCTTTTCAACAATGCACTTTGAAAATATTGCTGATCACAGTGCCGTTTAAAAATTGAATAAATAAGAAAATATTTCAATTTGGCACGTGGCAAATGGTTCTCACAAACTGTTATTCAACTAGTGGATAAGATGATTACAGTATCCAACCTGATGAAAATGTCCAATTCAAGTCTTTATTGCTGTCATTTATTCAAAAATAAAAAGTCCATCACACAGAAGGCAAAATACTTTTTATACCATTGTAAACATTTTCAAATGATTTGAAGGGGATATGTCTTTTATTTAAAAAATGTCAATCTGATCAGTTTTCTTTATGCAATCTTGATCAATTTGTGAAATACTCATAATGCCAGGTTGCACATCCACCATTGAAAAGAGAAGAGTGGCCTTCAGAGTGACAGAAGATTGTACCCAGTTCTCTATTGCATAGATCCATACATGCTCTTGCTCTTCTGACACATCATGCATAATTGCTCAGAATTTAATTTCAAAGGCTCCTCAGTACCAAGATTGTCGATTATGACCTAGAAAAAAAAGGGACCTCAGTATGTCACTAAAAGCTTCTATCCTACCCAGCATCTAAACGGACAGACATTCAGTCATACATTTGTACATTATATACATCAGGACACAAGCATCATTGTCACTCATACAAGCTCTGAGCCTGAAAAAGCACAAGTGACTTCTGTACATTTGAGAAAAAATATTTGCAGCATTACTAGGACTTAAAGATTATATAAAGTGAAATACTTAATAAGCTCAATCTTGCTTGTGAGTAACACTGCCCCTGATTTTGTATTCACTTTCCATTTGCCAAACATGTCCAGCAAATGTCCCACACATTTGTGGGATTCCAGAAATCTGTGACTCTCCATTGCAAATGCAGCATGAGCTTGACAATTTTAGAGTCTTCAAAAGCAGTTTTTCTTTTTTAACACTCATTTGTGTGACAATTTCCCTTTTCCTCTCCTTAAAACCTTTAGACAAGCTGTGGGATCTCAGGAGTTTTCCTCTTGAGTCCTGCGGAAGCTTAGGCGTTTAAAGGAATCTCTGCAAGAGACAGAAGACAGCAGATCACAGAAGAAGTGAAATTGAGAGAAACACAACAAGAGGAATTACGATGAGGAGGAGGAGTCAAAGCAACATACCAAGGGACCAAAGAAGTTTTCAAAGTTCTTTTTTTTCTGTCAGTAAACTAATCCTCACATTCCCTCACATTGGTTTCACCACATCCCCACGAATCAAAACAGCATTGGGTTAATGAGCTGATGGCTCACTTTACCTGTTATCAAGTCTAGGCCGGATGATGGGTTTATAGAGCTCAGGAATCTTTCTCTCCAGCATGGGCCTTAGGTTCTCTCTCAGACGATTGTAGTTTTTCTTCAGCTCCTGCTGGTACTCCTTCTGGTCTGATGTGATGAGGTGCTTATTCTTTTCGACTGCCTCTCCACATCTACAAGACAGAAAAACAGAATGAAGTGGCAATAGATATTAAAAAAAAAACACAATTTTATCTAATGACTTGTCAGAATTGTAGCTCAGATACAATAACCTCAAAGTTAAGTGATGTTTCAGATTTTGTGCAAACCAATTTATTTTTAATCCCCTCACTCTCCTCAAGTCTTCAGAAATCACTACAGTGTTCCATGCTAAAAACCTCCTGTTACTATTCAACATTAATATGAGTGTTTTGCACACCAGCCCTCTAAGTTAGTTTCGATTTATTAGTCTGCAGGGATTTACTATGTACTCATTGGAGTTCTTGTACTGAAGTATGAGCCAGAACGTGAGAGAGGAACAACACTGTTAAAGTAGCAACAGAGGTAAAAAAAAAAAAAAAAGCTATTAAAAATCTGAGTGTCCCTTATGTACAGGAAGCAGGACAATGCCTTGTTGTAAAAGAAAACACCAAAGTGTCTGAGCTGAGGGACACTGTGGTTTTTCTTCAAAAAGCAAAAGCAACATATATAGGAGCCCACATATAGAGCAGACGGTGGGAAATCTGAGAAAAGGGACTGATTGCAAACACATGTCTGTGTTTATCTCTTCGCTTTAAAGTAAGATAATGTGGAAATTGCAGTCTGAGTCAAATAGCAAACAGTGATATTTTGCTGTCTGAATGCTTACTTTTGTATTGTTAGTATGCATTTTTATGATAAGAAATAATATTCCCCTTCAGTCAGTTGACTAGTTCTGATTTCTTTCTTCAGGAAAAGGATATGCCTGCCATTTCAACAACATCACTTACAAACTTTCAGGGCAGTTTTCCAAAGAACTTGAGGAACTCAAGGTGAATAACAAACAAATTTGTCAAAGGTGAGATGGAGCACTAAACTGAATGAGAAATCATGCAACCTTTGACTGAAAAAAAAAGCTTTTCAAAGCACAATACCCCTGATGGAACAGGGCTGTGGATCTAAAACCTCTCTGGCTCCGACAGCGTTTATGAAAATGCAACTTTTCCCCATTGACTACGAACTTATTACATTTTCCCCAAAAGACTTTTGGTGACATTATCTTAGATTTCTTAGATTTTATTTATTTCTTTTGATCAGTGCGCTGGTCTTCATTAAGAGGCCACACTACATATATTTATTCTATTAAACTTCATCCTCATTGGCTCCAAATGGTTTTTCTGAACCAAATTGTGGCATCATAATGCCAAATCCACAACATAAGTTACAATAAATAACAGCATTTGACAACCATAAAGCAGCATATTTAAATAGAATAGTTTTTTTTTTAGAGACATTTTTCCTCCTGACTTTGATTATGATATGAGGAAGAAATTCTGGTTTCAGCATGGTTATGGAAACTATTCTTCCTTCAAACTTTCATTTGATACATTTTAGAAATCTCTAATTTCAGTTCTGTTAAGTAATTGCATACTCGTAATGCAGAGTTCATGATAACTACAATATTTTAAGAGACCTACATTATACCCATTTTATCTGATAGCATACATGAAACTAAAACATTGCCCACAGCATGGACTTGCAATTTTGGTTCAGAGAGTTTAGAAGACCAGCTAAGAATTCAATGAGCTTATTTTGTTTTTAGGATGGCAGTTTTAAGAACATTTTTATCCAAAGGCACCTTAGTCACGTCGCTTGCATTTAGCTGAAAAAATGAACTGTTCTGAAATTACAGTAAATATTTGCCAACCTGCTTCTAGCAATTCAGGGAGATGGAATGTGACATCAGGGTTACAAAATGAAAGACCACCGTTTGGAGGCAAATGACACATGCCCACGAGATGAGAGCACACTCACACACATGCCCACACACGCACACCTGTGCAGTACACAAAGCCACACATACATAACACAATGCTTGCTTCAGACACAGGGCCATGAAGAGAAAGATTTGGATTGTGTTTGGGAATTTTTAAATATTACAACCTTTGCACACAAGTGAATGTTGTGAGCAGATGAAAAACATGAGCAAAAAAGACCTGCTATAGGACATGGAATTGTGAGCCGCTAGCTGAATGACACTGCTGAAAGAGGGGGTGGGGTGGTGAAGCTTTATCTTCCATATTTGTCCCAAAAATGCCTTCATTGACTATTTATTTATTAACGTTACTGTCTTTGTAAGAAAATCTCTTTGTAGAATTGTTCTTTACTTCAACCTGCTGAGCCAGTACCACCCAAAACTGACAATAAAGAGAATCACAAATGTAAATTCAAGAAAACTAGTTGGAGAGCTTAATTCTCAATATTAATCTGAAGTGTTTTTAGAATATTATTGTCATTGTGCTTCTTTTCCCAAATGTATTTATGACTCCCAACGGCGAGCTTTGATCTTACCTCATTATAAACTCCTTGAAACAGAGGCGCAGTTTATTGTGGTGACGGAAGAGCTTTGGATCCGCTGGGATCTCATTCAGGAAGACCTGGGCCACCTCCAGTGGGCCCTACAATGAGGGTGGACATTGAAGGAATAGGACAAACACAAAGAGACAGAGTCAGCGAGAGGAAGAAAGAGAAAGCAAAAAACAGGGTAGAGGAAGGAAAGTGAGGAAGTGTTTCAGAGCATAAGAACAAAAGCAAGGATGAGAATGTCCCCTCATTCACAAACGGGGGAAATGACTTGCAAACTGAATGTCTAATAGAGCTGGGGGGGCCAAGACACTGAACGAGAACATGAGGAAGAGATCAGATCAGAGATGGAGACATGAGCAGCCTCCTGAATGTCACTGCTAAGCCTGAAAACACACGCCATTTGGCTCCCATTTACCCAGCATGAAATCTTGTTATCCTAACGTATATTCATCATAAAACCACAGCAAGTTTGCACAATGCCTACATCCCGACAGGCACGGTTAAACAGTGCTGATTAGCATCATAAATATATCGAGCCTGGGCTTCAGTCTTTGGTTGGCGCTGTGGACCCACACACAGAAAAACCAGCCTGCTGTGCTGATTACAGTCAAGAGTTATATGTTTACGAAGCTGCTGAGCATTAGCGTTATGTATACAACCATCAAGTCAGAGCGAGGGACCTGTCAGATTAGACTCTGGAAGATAAAGCATAGGGGGAAGGAGCGGAATCGCTAAAGCTAGCTTTGTCATTACTCCAACATTCGCCATGCTGGCAGGACCTGGAAGCTATCAGATCAAAGAGACCTCCGGTTCAGCACGCGGTGCAGAGGAGACATGAAAGGAAGAGCGACCATGAATTGATGCTATAACTGAATCAGGAGGAGAGCAAAAGCAGGATTAGGGTTATAGATAGGGCGAAAGCTTTGATGTGCAATCGCTGTCCTGTCTCTCACCTGCATGCTGTGGCTACACTGAAAACGCTAAATGTTTTAAGAAATACAGACATGACCCGTTTCCAAATTCCCCCTCTATGATAAAGCAAAATAGTGAGATTCAAAGGTGCTTTATGTCATTTAAGGTGAATAGTAGTTTTTCTAATATTTATCAAAGTATTTTGGTATTGTGAGGAAAGTCTCACTTTCTGCTCCAAAAAATGTGGCATACAGCAGCACAAAGTGCCCTCATGTCATAGTAAAAGTGGAAGCGTTCTTTACCTGGTTAACAGTGGCCCCGACAGAGCCTTGCAGCAGCATCTGTAACATTTTAGCATCTGGCTGTTCTCTGTGTGTCGCCACTGCAAGCTCCCTCGTCTTCTTCTGCATGTCTTCTATGGCCACCTCAATAGGAGTGAGATCGAACTGGAAACAGGAGAGGAGGTCGTATTCCAGATTGTATTGTTGGAATTAAAGTTGGTTATCAAAAACAACATTATTTAGCACTAACCTCCTCTTTCTGAATGACGTTGAGGCGAGTCTTCACGTAGGGGAAGGCGTGCATGGTGGTCAGGATGGTCTTCCTCTTGTACTGCTCATTGAGCTCCCCCCTGGGCCGGCCGCTCTTGGTGAACGGTGTGGTGTACATGAAGCGTCGCAGGTTGAAGTTTTTCTCAAAGTTTGTCAGGCGGTCTTTCATTTCATAGTCATCGAAGTAAGGCTCCACATAAGTGATCTGGATATACGCCTGGAGAGGGGATTCAATTACTCTGTCTGTTCAAAATTATCCCAAATTCAGGTTCTCACCAAGAGTGACCCCATTTACATCAGTCAGCATTTATTTATTCATTTATTGCTGGGGAGCATTACATGTGTCTGTTAAGACTCAAGGAGACTGTTTGTAAAATTTACCACTATTTAAAACAAGTTAAAAACCATAGGCGTGCTTTATTCTAACGGGAATTACCATTACCTCATTTTATTTGACGCTGCCCATATTTGACATCAACATACATCATTTTATTCCATTACAGCATTAAATATGGCAGGAAACAAGTGGTGAGACATTAAAGCTGCTTACCTTATTGGGGTTGAGCTGTTTTCTGTCCACTGGTGTGGAGTCCTTAATCATGACCAGTGTTTCATCTCCAAAACACTGACTGTAGAAGTTCTAGGAGTGGGAAAATGGTGTCATTACAGCACAGTATTCATATGTACAAGCAATCTGCATATGATATAAATCAAACATGACATATGCATATAATAATGACACTGGGTAGTTTTGATTATCTTTGCTAGCATGAACAGTTTTTTTAGGTTCTCATTTAACACAAAATTAAATGTGTAACTGCAAACCTTCCTGTTCACTGGAAATCTCTCTAGAATTCTAATTAATTAACTTAAGTCGAACCAGGCACCACCTTCTGGCGCTACAACACTACAACTATTTGTTTATTCACAACATTTGACTATGCCCATTTCCAGACACTTTAATGCTTTGTACCTCTAGCCTATGTGATATTTCGGGCAGATGTGTGATCCCAGGCTCCTTGTAAATAAATTCCCGCTCATCCAGGTCACCAAACTTGGCCCCGTAAAAACCCACACGGAAATAAGTTCCAAACATCCTCTTATGACCCTGAAGGAAAAACAAAGAGAAGATGTTATTTTAAACAATCAAGATTTACAACAGTGCCATTTCTCTCATTATGGAAATTGCGTTTTAAGGGTTGTGTATACTTTGAAGATTTTATTTCTTGGAAAAGTCATCATACTTGTAAAAACTATGGAAGAACTGGGATCTTAACATTCAACAATAATAATATATGTATTTTTAGGCTTCTTTCTTTGTACATGATATTATTCCACATACAGGTACAGGTCACATACTCGTCCCAGCGATTATGAACAAAGATGTTAAATGATCCTTGTGATTTTAAATGGATTTCAGCTTAAAAACTATTTGACTACAACTGTATGAATTGAGCAGATGCTGCCTTCAAGCTCTTACCTTCTGAATGATGTTATCAAAAGCTCGATGAAGTTTGTCATGTGTGGATGCCAGTTTTCTGAAATCTCTGCGTGCCTCTAGGATTGGTATGATGATCTTGTAGACTTCATTCACGGCCTCATAAAGACCACCCTGATGAGAAGCACATCAGCGCCGGTTAGACTGAAACACATACTGTGTGTGTGTGTGTGAGTGTGTGTGTGTATGGTGGTCACAACTGGATAAAACACAAAACGACACAAAAATGCAAGAAAACTGAAAGGTATATGTACTAAATGTGAATTAGAGACCCAATTACATGTTGATTTCTAAAAGGTAAACATGAGTACAAACAGAATAGCTCACATTGCTGAAGAGTTCAGCGGCTTGCTCAAGCAATCCAACCAGGCCACTCTCGGTGAAATAACGTCCTGAGCACACCCCGTCCTCATCTGGGGACAGGATGTCATCTGACACAGCTGACTCCTCCAGTACATTTGGAGAGATGTTCTGAGAAGAAAAAAAATCAGTTGGCTAGTCAATTTGTTAGTCCTCTTAATCAAATAATCAATCACATGGTTTAAAAGGACATGTCCTGCCATGGCGAAAGGAGCTAATTTGAAGACCCTCTAATCAATGACCTGCTGTTTGCTGCAGGTAGTCGTGCACCAGAGCACTAAGTCTGAAAGATCTTGTGTGTGGGGAAGTCCGTCAGTGACACTGTCATCTTTGTTACTGCAAATAGGTCGTTTGTGTGTTCCCAGAGGAGCTTGTTTGCCTTTTTCCTCCATTCAGCTTTAAGGCATTATGTCACGCAGTACTATCAGGGGGACCGTATCTGTACGTTGACATTAGAAATGTACAGCTCCCGCCTTTCTACGCACTTAACTGACTAAAGAAGTACCCCAAGATTTGTGAGAAGATTTTGGTGTGTGCTACACAAAGAGGAAGTGTTTTTTTTATGTAAAATAACCCGGAATCATAAACAAATAAACAACACATGGTTTTTATAAGAGACGTTTGCCATTTTTTGTGTATCATCACGCAGTGGGCCTGCGTTCGTTTCCCAGATATTTATCTACCTGAAAAGTGACGCTGCCGACGGGGAGGTACTTGTGATCCTCCAGCATGCTGAGGTACTCAGCCACCAGGGCGGCGGCATGGACCAGACACATGGCCGACTCGGTGTAGCACTTCCTGTTGGTGTGTTTCTCTGCCATGTTCTGCAGCCAGGTCAGACGGAGGTCAGGAGACGTCTGATAGCCTTTTGCTATCCTGGAGGGTGAGGAAAAGAAGGGGCATTTTTTTTTCCTTCCCTTTAATTTCCCCTTTATTAAATCATTTATAGCCCAATTGAGATTAAAATCTTGCTTGCGAGTAACTTGACCGATAAAACTGTTACTGTACAGGGTTCACAAACGGGCTAGGTGACCGAGGGCACATTGCTGGCCATCACTCGGCCCACATTTATGCCAGCGTACTTTTTCATATAACGGAAACGTTTTGTGATATTACTGGATAATTGCTCGGCAAAGCGAATGGGTTGCTGCACCCGGCATATATAAAAAGTCAACAGAATTTGGAGGCCAAACAGCTTTTACACATGAAATGTGTGTTTGGCAGCAGGGAGGTGAGTGTAAGTAAGCGTTTTAAGTCAACAGGTCACACATCTGTCAGACGGACACTCACCAAGTGACTACAGCCAAAGCCCAAACAGAAAAGTGCATGATAAATTACACATATAGTCGACACTAAAGCACTTTGAGGTAAAGTGCCAAAATCAACAAAAGCACATGTATGCTCTCTTTGTCTCAATGTTTCCCCGACCGACGTCCACTCTCTCTCTCTCTCTCTCTCTCTCTCTCTCTCTCTCTCTCTCTCTC